AGAACGCATGAAACAATTCTCTGGCTTAACCAACAGAATTTGACTTTGCTTGTCAGCGGGTTTTTGGCACCTGCTTATCAGCTGCTTGTGGGAAATTTTTGCAGGGCCATTAGAACTTCGGTCACTAAAGAAAGTCGAGGACAGCCTGCATAAATAAATGTAAAGATACAAATAGAAATAAATATTCCTTCCTTATTGTGCCAAGGTTGTGCTGAGCCTTAGAGAAACTCAGTAAACCTGCCAGGCCATGCATAAATTGAGACGGAGGACAACTTCCCTCCTATAAATCCTGAGTAAGGCCACACCTGGAATTCTGCACCCAGATTTGGGTCACCACATTATGAAATTGGCTAACCTGGTTAGCCTGGCCTAACCTCCCTTTAAAAAAATAAATAAAATCAAATCAAATTTCTCTAAAATTTTAGGGGTGTTTTAATCTGTTCTGAGCCAAATTTATTTAATTAGGTTTTTATACTGTTTTTAAATTTTGTAATTCTGTGTGTTTTATCTCTTGGCTGTTCACCACCCTGAGTCCCTTGGGAGGAGGGCGGTATATAAATCTAATAATTAAAAATTAAAAAAAAAAAAAGATGTTGAGCCTTTGGAAAAAGTGCAAAGAAGAGCAACTAAGATGATCAAAGGCCTGGAGACTAACACATATGCAGGATTTGGGTTTGGCTACTCTAGAGAAAAGAAGGACTAGGGGGGACATGATAGCAGTCTTCCAGTATTTGAGGGGCTGCCCCAAAGAAGAGGGAGTCAAGCTATTCTCCAAAGCCCCTGAGGGCAGGACAAGAAGCAGTGGACGGAAATTAATCAAGGAGAGAAGCAACCTGGAATTAAGGAGAAACTTCCTGACAATAAGAACAATTAACCATTAGAACAGTTTGCCACTGGCAGTTGTGGCAGCTTCATCACTGGAAGTTTTTAAGAAGAGACTGGACTGCCATCTGTCAGAATTGGTGTAGGGTCTCCTGCTTGAGCAGCAGGGGATTGGGCTAGATGACCTCCAAGGTCCCTTCCAACTCTGTTATTTTCATTCTTAAAAGAAGGAGGAGGAGGAGGAGGAGGAGGTGGAGAAGGATCAGAGGGGGGAGGAGGAGGAGAAAAAAAGAAGAAGAAGAAGAAGAAGAAGAAGAAGAAGAACAGGAGGAGGAGGAGGAGGAGGAAGAGGAGGAGAAGGAGAAGAAGAAGAAGAAGAAGAAGAAGAAGAAGAACAGGAGGAGGAGGAGGAGGAGGAAGAGGAGGAGAAGGAGAAGAAGAAGAAGAAGAAGAAGAAGAAGAAGAAGAAGAAGAAGAAGAAGAAGAAGAAGAAGAAGAAGAAGAAGAAGAAGAAGAAGAAGAAGAAGACAGAACAATCAATCTGGACTTGCTTCTAGAAGTTGCGGGTTCTCCATCTCTGGAGTCTTTTTAAGAAGAGACTGGACAGCCGTTTGTCTGAAATGGTGTAGGGTCTCCTGTTGAGCAGGGGGTTGGACTAGAAGACCTCCAAGGATCCCTTCCAACTCTGTTATTCTGTTTCATGAAAAGAAGGACTAAGGGGTGACATGATAGCAGTCTTCCAATATTTGAGGGGCTGCCCCAAAGAAGACGGGGACTAATTATTCTCCAAAGCCCCTGAAGGCAGGACAAGATGGAAACCAATCAAGGAGAGAAGCAACTTGGAATTGAGGAGAAACTTCTTGACGGTGGGAACAATCAACCGGTGGAACTGCTTGCCACCAGATGTTGTGGGTGCTTCACCCCTGGAAGTTTTGGCTTGTTGGCTGATCCATCTTCTGCCCGCCTTCTTCCTCACCAGCTTTTCGGCAGGGCCATTTCGTCACCCCCCCCCCAAACTAACAGGACCCCAGAGTTGCTATGAATAATCTTGTCAAGGAGATTTAAAGCACTGGAAATCCCCCTCTGGCCCTTCCCGGGATTCGAGTGCCAGCTGCGGGATGCAACGGCCACCCATTAAGAACTACACCATCCGTAAAGTTGCATTTTTCTCCCAAATAGGAGGGGGGAAGGGGAGACCCACTGCATTTCCCTTCCTGCTCACCCCCCCCAACCCTCCTGGGCCTTTGGCTGCGTCTGCTGGGACGAACCATCGGATGAGGCCAGTGAAGTTTGAAAAATTCATTTTGATTGGCAGCTGGGCATGGAAAAATTCACAAGGCGGAGAGCACGCAGACTCCGAACTTGGAAAAGATGCGACTGGCTGGTTTTTTTTTTTTTTTTTGAGTGTGTGTGTGTCTTAAAACTCTCGCAAATTGGCTGGCCGCTTTGCAAACCGTGGCCGAAGAAAATGCGTGGCGTTTCCTGGTTCTTGGAACTGGCCGCTGGAATCTTCCAGGACAGAGAAAACGGATTCCGATTCTCCGTCCAAGCAAAGAGGGAGGCCAAGAATTCGGAATTATCTGCGGTAGAGCAAACTCAGAAAGACGGGTTAGCTCCCGTCTGTGGCCAAGGCTATTTATTGGGTCTAGACTTACTTAGAGTAAATTTATGGTCACTTCGAATGTAGATTAATCGGCATACTTTAAAATGAAATTTCATTGCATACACCTCTACAAGGGGTTCACCACTTCCAATAGACACTACATAAACATGACAGAATAAATAAATAAATACAAAATTATGTATATATACCAGGGGTGAAATGCTCCCGGTTTGGACCGGATCGCCTGATCCGGTAGCGATGGAGGCGGGTGGTCCGGAGAACTGGTAGCAAAAATCCCTGTGGGCCCCCCCCCCATGCCCAGCTGAGCCACGCAATCATCCGAGCCTTTTTTTTAACTTTTAAAAGCATTTTTTTCTACAACCTCTTCTGCTGAAAAAATGCTTTTAAAAGTTAAAAAAAAAAGCCTCTCATGATCGCGCGGCTCAGCTGGGAACATCAAAGGCTTTTAAAAGAAAAAAAGCCTCTCCTGATCAGGCAACTCAGCTGGGATCGTCAGAGCCTTTTGAAAGCATTTTTTTTACAACCTCTTCGCCGAAGAGGTTGTAGAAAAAATGGTTTTAAAAGTAAAAAAAAAAAAATTGACCACGCCCACCCAGTCACATTACCCCCCACCAAGCCACGCCCACAGAACCAGTAGTAACAAATTTTAGATTTCACCACTGATATATACCCACATATATTATATGACACTGAGAAGCAACCCAGTCTAGTTTGGACGTATACATGTCCGTGGCGTGAAAACGAATCTTGTGAGTTTACCAGAGGGATGGCCTAGGGAACAAAGCTATTACAGAATCGGGGAGTCCTGCTAGAAATACTCCGAAACCTCCTCCCCAGAGGGGAGCGACAGAAACAGACCGTGGAATGGGTGTCTCTGACAATGCTTTGAGCTCTAAGCACACAGCGCTTAAAAGCAGTACCCTGAATAATGGGAAACCAGCTTCCTATAAACGTCTCCGCTGTCCATACCACTCTCTGTAGGGACTTTCTATCTGAGGCACTGCGGCCACCAAACCAAACAAGGATGCAGTTTGTTAAAAGGCTCTCCGTTGTGGCTCTGTAAAAAGTGGCCAGGACAAGAAGGAGAAAGATGTGCTCTCCTCATCCGACGCAGGTAATGCAGACACTGGTTTGCGTGCTTCACTAAAGATGACGTGTGGAGAGACCGAGTCAGATTATTAGTTATCTGCAAAATCTCACCCAAATGAGGGGTCCATAAGAAACCTGGACTTCTTGGGATGGTTGACTCATTGGGTGTTGGTGGCCCTGAAATTACCGAGTTAGGAAGCTACGTAGGATTTTCTAAGCCCCCAATAAAAATGTTTTGGAAAAGGGGATTTTTTTGGGGGGTGAAGGTAGAATAGAATAGAGCTGGAAGGGACGTTGGAGGTCTTCTAGTCCAGCCCCCTGCTCAAGCAGGAGAACCTACACCATTTCAGACAAGTGATTGTCCAGTCTCTTCTTAAAAACTTCCAGTGTTGGAGCACCTACAACTTCTGGTGGCAAACTGTTCCACTGGTTAATTGTCCTCACTGTTAGGAAGTTACTTCTCAATTCCAGGTTGCTTCTCTCCTTGATTAGTTTCCATCCGTTGCTCCTTGTCCTGCCTTCAGGTGCTTTGGAGAATAAGTTGAAACCCCCCTTCTTTGGAGACATGATAGCAATCTTCCAATATTTGAGGGGTTGCCCCAAAGAAGAGGGGGTCAAGCTATCTTCCAGAGCACCTGAAGGCCAAGGAATTATGGATGGAAAACTCATCAAGGAGAGATTCAACCTAGAAATAAGGAGGAATTTTCTGACAGGGAGAACAAGCCACCCATGGAACAGAAGTTGCCTTTGGAAGTTGTGGGAGCTTCATCCCTGGAGGCTTTCAAGAAGAGACCGGACTGTCATCGGTCAGAAATGGGGTAGGGTCTCCTGCTTGGGTGGCGGGTTGGATTAGATGAACGACAACAGTGATGGCTAACCTTTTTGCCGTCGCGTGCCAAAAGCGGGGGAAACATGAGGGAGTCACATGTGTGCGTGGCCACACCCATAACTCAATGCGCCCTGCCCCGCCCTCCACGCATGCACGCGCGACCCCCATTTGATCCCCACTTTTGGCACGTGATGGCACGGTGGGCCCAGTAGGCCCATTTTTTGCCCTTCCCAGGCTCCAGAGGCTTTCTTGGAGCCTGGGGAGGGTGAAAACGGCCTTCCCACCCCCAGTGTAGGCCCTCTGGAGGTCAGAAATGGCCCATTTCCCGACTTCCGGTGTGAGACCGGAAGGCCCGTTTTCCACCCTCCCCAGGCTCCAGAGGCTTTCTAGGATCTTGTGGAGAGCAAAAATGGCTTCCCCCGCCGGAGGCCCTCCAGAGGCAGGAAACGGCCCATGGGCCCAGAAGGCCGAGCTGAGCTAGGGCACCACTCGTGTGCCCACAGATATGGCTCCACGTGCCACAGGTTCGCCATCACGGACCTCCAAAGTCCCTCCCAACTCTGTTAATCTGTATGAGACCGAAAAGCAGAGTATGGAAAGCAAAGGAGGAATGCAAACATCACTCTAGTCATTCGGTTTCTCTCTTCAGTGATTTTTTATATAAAAGAAAACAGAAAAAACAGACAATACATCTTGCCAGAGTCCTGCGTAAAAGACAATGCAACTCAGCAAATTCAGTATTATCCTAACATTTGTACAAGGGCTATTATTTATAGGTGGGTGCGCGTACCCACTTTCCCCGCATCACTTCTCGAAGATAAACAGAAACAGAACAGGGTAAACTATCATTCACTATCTAAGAACACAACCAGTAACTACAGGCAACCTTCTGCCAAGCCAGCGTAAAGAAATCATTTGTAAAAGAGAAACCGGGAACGTTTAAAAGGAAGTTGTTTTCACATCGTTCATTCTCCTCCTCCGTGATTAAAAGTTTTGTAAGAGAAAAAGAACAATTTCAAAACGCAGGATTCCTTTTTGCTGAAGTCATAAAAAAAAAACCAACAATAACAATTCAGACTTAAGAACGGAAAACCACACGGACAAGCTACATTTTCATAACGTCGTTTTTTTCAGTTCCCTCTCCCGGATCAACTCCAGCGAGTATCAATACCAAACGAAAAGAACTTATTTACTTATGGTTAACTCTTTGCAACGACAACAATCACAGCAAACAGAATCAGGTTGAATATTATCCTTATCTGAATCCTGTTTAAAAGGAAGGAACCCGTTCCAAGCTCAGCTGAAGTCCTATTTTTCCAGTGTTTCCAAATTGACTTAAATAACAAAATAAGGCCCATCAGGTTTTATCCAGGACCACAATGTTTTAAATTTGTGACGAAACATTTTATACAATAAAGGCAAATAAAGAGTTAAAAGAGAACTGTTAAGAGGAAGGAAGCTTCCTTTTGCTGGAGCAAAAGTGGGGGGGAAAAAATCCCTACAGCTTTCCATTTATTACTTTGTCCACCGTAGCAAAATAAATGTGATAATTTGCCAATTTTCACAGGCTTGTTTAGCTGCTCTCGTCTTCTTCCTGCAACAATTCCTGAAAAGATATAGGAAAAATAAATGATTATTAACAGCATGTTGGATGCATCTTTTAAGACCAAGGTGGGCCCAAAGGAGCTTGAGAAGGGACCTGGGGTGCTGATTTTAACCCACCAACTCACCAAGGAATCTAAATTCCCTTTTCCATACAGGTAGTCCTCGACTTGTGACTGCAGCGGAGTCCAAAATTTATGTCGCTAAGTGATAAATTGGTTAAGTGAGTTTTGCCCCACTTTTACGACCTTTCTTGCCACAGTTGTTAAGTGAATCGCTGCAGTTGTTAAGTTAGTAACATGGTCGTTAATCGAATCTGGCTTCCCCATTGACTTGGCTTGTCAGAAGGTCGCAAAAGTGGATCGCGTGACATCCTCCCCCGGGACGCTGCGACTGTCATAAGTGCGAGTCAGTGGTCAAAGCGTCCAAAATTTGGATCATGTGATATAGGGGGGATGCAGCAACGGTCGTAAGGGTGAAAAATGGTCATAACCCCCTTCCTTTTTTTTCCAGTGCAGTTGTCACTTCGGTCACTAAGTGAACTGTTGTAAGTCGAGGACTACCTGTAGCAGAGAACGGTTGTAACTCGAGGGTTGAATTGTGGACTCCTTGGTGCTCTCTGAGTTTGATCCAGACCTCTCATGACCCAGCTAGGTGGCATCATCAGTGCAGTTCAATTTCCGTTTATTACAGTCACAGACCAGAACAAATAAAAACACTCTGTGAATATCCAACTAAAAATTCTAGAATAAAATAATACATAAGAGATAAAACCTATGTTAAAATCAGTTACACAGCTAGGCTTAAATGGTAACAATCTATAAACCGTGAGGCCCGTAGTCAATTTTATACTAAAATGCAACAGGAATAAGCAGGGCAAAAGGTTTGCCACATTTGTTGAATAAAATAGAGATGGTGGATTAGACCCATGTCTCCCACGAATCCCCAGGGCAGCTGCGCAGAATCTAGCCTCCCGTGATGATGTTCATCGCACTGATGCTGATACCTAGTTGGGTCCTGAAACGTCTTCTTCAAGGCCACCACCGAGCTGAGAGACCATCAAAGAAGACACGACAAATTCCCTTTGGTTCCGGTTTACCAATGTAGAAGAATTTGATTCAGTTTTGGATGCAAATCCGTCTGTTAGACCGGCAAGCAAACTGAGTTTACCTTGGCTCCTTAATGGTGGCAGATGGGGGCTAAGCAATGGTGAAATCCAAATTATTTTACTATCGGTTCTGTGGGCGTGGCCTGGTGGGCGTGGCGTGGCTTGGTGGGCGTGGCTTGGTGGGCGTGGCAGGGGAAGGAGACTGCAAAATCTCCATTCTCACCCCACTCCAGAGGAAGAATGCTGCAAAATCCCCATTCCCTCCCCTCTCCTGGGGGAAGGATATTGCGAAATCTCCATTCCCACCCCATTCTGGGGCCAGCCAGAGGTGGTATTTGCCGGTTCTCCGAACTACTCAAAATTTCCGCTACCGGTTCTCCAAGACCTGCTGGATTTCACCCCTGGGGCTAAGCAAGGCTGGGAAAGACGGGAGCGAGCAAGAGAGATTTTTTTTTCCAGGCGCGGGGAACAATTTTCCCAGGGATGGAGGGCTCCCCAGATTCACCCAAGCAAACCTCATCGGAGCAGCTCGGTAAAAACATTCCGCTGTTTAGGAAGCTGGAACATTCTTCCTAGCTCAGATCTTGGGGGCTTTGGGCTGATTGGCAACCATGAACAGATTAACAGAGTTGGAAGGGACCCTGGAGGTCATCTAGTCCAACCCTCCCTTCCCAAGCAGGGGACCCTACACCATTTCTGACCGATGGCAGTCCAGTCTCTTCTTGAAACCTTCCAGGGATGAAGCTCCCACAACTTCCGAAGGCCACTTCTGTTCCATGGGTTGATGGCTTTCACAGTCAGAAAAATTTCTCCTTAGTTCCAGGTAGAATCTCTCCTTGTTCAATTTCCATCCATTCTTCCTTGTCTGGCCTTCAGGTGCTTTGGAGAATAGCTTGACCCCCTTCCTCCTCTCTGTGGCAGCCCCTCAAATGTTGGAAGATGCTCTCCTGTCTCCCCTGGTCCTTCTCTTCACTAGACTAGCCAGGCCCAGTTCCTGCAACCGTCCATCGCATGTTTTAGCCTCCGGTCCCCTCATCATCCTGGTTGCTCTTCTCTGCACTCTTTCTAGAATCTTCCTAGCTCAGATCTGGGGCTGATCGGCAACCACTAAAGGCCTAACACACCTTCTCCAGCCAAGATGCATGGGAGAGACACACCCATCCAGCCTTGCCGAGGGGCCCAGGTTGGGCAAGCACAAGAGGGCTCCTGTTGGCACCTGCCATCAGCTCTAGCAAGACAAAGGGAGAGCTTTGAAGAAAGCCGGAGATCCATTTTGGTTTCCCAGGGCTGCTAGTGACATCTAGTGGCCGAGGCGGATATTCTCTTCTCTTTTTCCAAAGTCACAGAATCACGGAATAGGAAGGGACCTTGGGAGATCTTCTAGTCCAGCCCCCTGCTCAAGTAGGAGACCTTATAATATTTCAGACAAGTGGCTGTCCAGTCTCTTTTTAAAAACCTGGAGCATCCATTCGAATCTTCTGGAGGCAAGCCGTTCCACTGATTCATTGTTCTCACTGTCCGGAAATTCCTCCTTAATTCCAGGTTGAACCCCTCTTTGATTGGAATGGAATAGAATAGAATAGAATAGGAGCTGGAAGGGACCTTGGAGGTCATCTAGTCCAACCCCCCTTTGAAACAGGAGACCCTATACCCGAAGGTGGGTTCTAAATTTTTTTTACTTAATTCTTATTTTTTTCTGTGGGCGTGGCTTATTTTGTGGGCGTGGCTTGATGGTCATGTGACAATTCTTTAGGATTTAGCAGAGGTACTGGTCTACCAGCTTTAAACTGCTGGTCTACTCATTTGTTTTCTTTTAACTCTGATCAGCTGTAGGGCGGCAAGAGTTTAAACAGTTTTTTTCCCTCTAGCAGATCAGCCGGGACTCAGGAGGCAGCAATAGATTGGGGGTGGGGCCAAATAAAAGGTAAGAATAACGCGGGTGTGGGGGGGCAGAACCGGTTCGGTGACATCACATCGTCACCGCTACCGGCTAGCGGAACCAGGCGGAACCGAGTGGAACCCACCACTGCTATACCCATGATGGCGAATCTATGGCACACGTGCCACAAGTGGCACGCAGAGCCGTATCTGTGGGCACGTGAGCGTTGCCCTAGCTCAGCTCCAGTTCAATGCATGCGCCAGCCACCTGATTTTCGGCCCTTCCGGGCCCACCGGAAATCAGAAAATGGCTGTTTCCAGCCTCTGGGGGCCGTGGAGAAGGCAGTTTTCACCCTCCCCAGGCTCCAAGAAAGCCTCTGGAGCCTGGGGAGGGCGAAAAACGGGCCTACCAGGCCCACCATGCCATCGCGTGCCAAAAGCAGGGGAGCTCGGGGGGATCATGTGCACATGTGCGGGGGGTGGTGTGCATTGAATTATGGGTGTGGGCACACACGTGCACAAAACCCCGCACTCCCCCACCCTTGTGGCACGCGACGGTAAAAAGGTTAGCCATCTCTGTCCTATACCAATCCTGGAGAACATTTTCCCTCGGGTGCCGAATGTTTGTGTGCGTGAGTGCCAGCGCTCACGCAGGTGCTGACACCCATAATGCAATGCCCCCACGCAGGCCCCGCCCCTGCACATGCACGTGCTCCCCCGGCACTCCCCCCCCCGTGCATGTGCACCCCCCATGCTCCATTTTGATCCCTTCAGAGAGGCCTGCTAGCACCAAAATGGGGGGTGGGAGGGTGTACTGAAGCCTCCTGGGACCAAAAATGGGGCATGGGGGGGTGGCGTCCTCCCACATGCGCGCGTGACCCCCCCACCCCGTGGGCATGCGCGCATGTCTCCTGGAAGAGACCCAAAAACCAGCTGGTGGGGGGAGGCATGCGGGCATGCACAGTGGAGCTGACCTGGGCATCGGCTCGCGTGCTCACAGAGATGGCTCCTTGGGCCATAGGTTCCCCATCACGGCCTTATACCATTTCAGATAACTAACTGTCCAGTCTCTTCTTGAAAACCTCCAGTGATGAAGCAGCCACAACTTCTGGTGGCCAGCTGTTCCACTGGTGAATTGTCCTCACTGTCAGGAAGTTTCTCCTTAATTCCAGGTTGCTTCTCTCCTTGATGAGTTTCCATCCGTTGTTTCTTGTCCTGCCCTCATCAGGGGCTTTGGAGAATAATGTGAGAAGGACAATCTGATCCAGATTTCAGCGGACGAAAAGGAAAGGAAAACGCTGGTGCTACTTGAAAAGCAGAAAAGTTTTATTTCCAAGAGTCAAAGCCCATGGAAGGTGGATTACAAGATATGAGACCTTCTAGGAATAATATTTGCAGTGTTCTGCATCCTTTTCTTAATTGGTTTTCTTTGTTTATTTATTTGGCATTCTTATTCACCGGGAAAAAGAATTGATTAAGTCAAGGGATAATTGAATCTTTTGCTTTCAAGTATAACTGTTGTAATTAAGTTTACGGAGTGAAAATTAAGTCTTGTGTGTTTTAGCTTGTATAGCTTTCTTTTAATAATTTAAAACAAGTATTTAATTAATTCCCATGTTTTTCCTTTCTGTTATTGCTTGCCAGCTCCCCCTCTCCCCTCTCCCCCTTATTATCATTAGCAACTTTCTCTCATTGATCTGTAACTTAGTCAATATGTGATTTCTAATGCAACATTTCTAATACTATTTAAATAAATGTATGGATCCTTCCCACAATTGGTTGACCCCCTCTATTGGAAGACTGCTATCGTGTCTCCCTTGGTCCTTCTTTTCTTTTAAAGTAGAATAGAAGAGAGCTCGAAGGGACCTTGGAGGTCTTCTCGCCCAGCCCTTGGCTCAAACAGGAGATCCTATACGGATTATCATTAGGTTACAGAACAATGGAACAACTTGCCACCAGAAGTTGTGAATTCTCCAACACTGGAAGTTTTTAGGATGAGATTGGACAACCATTTGTCTGAAATGGGATAGGATCTCCTGCCTGAGCAGGGGGTTGGACTAGAAGACCTCCAAGGTCCCTTCCACCTCTGTTATTCTGTCCTGTCCTGTCCTGTCCTGTCCTGTCCTGTCCTTTCCTGTCCTGTCCTGTCCTGTCCTTCTCTCCTCTCCTCTCCTCTCCTCTCCTCTCCTCTCCTCTCCTCTCCTCAGAGGGATACAATCAAGATCAAGGGAGGTACTAAGACCACTCTATAAAGCCTTAGTAAGACCACACCTAGAGTACTACATCAGTTGTGGTCACCACACTATAAAAAAGAGGCTGAGACTCTAGAAAGAGTGCAGAGAAGAGCAATAAAGAGGATGAGGGGACTGGAGGCTAAAACATACGAAGAACGGTTGCAGGAACTGGGCCTGGCTAGTCTAGTGAAGAGAAGGACCAGGGGAGACATGAGAGCATCTTCCAATATTTGAGGGGCTGCCACAGAGAGGAGGGGACCAAACTATTTTCCAAGGCACCCGAAGGCCAGGCAAGGAAGAATGGATGGAAATTGACCAAGGAGAGATTCAACCTGGAAATAAGGGGAAAATTCTGACAGTGAGAGTAATCAACCAAGGGAACAGAAGTTGCCTTCAGAAGTTCTGAGAGCTTCATCCCTGGAGGCTTTCAAGAAGAGACTGGACTGCCATCTGTCAGAAATGGTACAGGGTCTCCTGCTTGTGTGGGGGAGGGGGGTTGGACTAGATGACCTGCAAGGTCCCTTCCGACTCTGTTAATCTGTTAAGACCTCCAAAATCCCTTCTGTTGCTCTGATAGAAAGTGGTGAGCCTTCAACGGCAGAGCCACGGAGGCCATCTCAGCCTTTCTGACCACCCCACCCCCTAATTCCTCGGCCCCATTTGTATGTCACAGGCTCACTCACAATTCACTGGAGCTCGGACCCCACATTCTCCGGCGGCTCGGCTCGGCCTTGAACGTCTTCTGGTTGGCTTGGGACTGGCAGCTGTTCTGAGGTTTCGGCTCTGGCGGGAACGTCTGCCTGACTCACCGGAGCCTCTGCCCGGCCCGAGTCTTCAGGCTGGTCGGGAACCCTCGGCGGCCCCGAGGACTCGGTCGGCAGGGAGAAAGCGGCTTCCAACTCCTCTGCTTCCTTGTCATTCAGCTCAGGAAAGTCGGACGGTGGAGGCCAAGCACCCTCTTCGAAGGCCTGCAGCCTCATTTCCATCACGTTGCGAATTAAGCCTAGAGGGGGGACGAGGCTGGGCTGAGAAGGGGTAGCAGTAGCCATAGCCGTAGTACTTATATGCCGCTTCAGCCCCCTCTCAGCAGTTCACGTGTTGCCTCCAACAATCTGGGTCCTCATTTTACCCACCTCGGAAGGAAGAATGGAAAGCTGAGTCAACCTTCTGAGGCCCTTCCAAAGGCTGTTTTAGCTTTGCTTTGACTCTTGAAGCAATAGCAGTAGCCCTTAGACTTATATACCACTTCACAGTGCTCTTCAGCCCTCTATAAGCGGTTTACAGAGTCAGCCTCCTGCCCCCAACAATCTGGATCCTTGTTTTACTGACTTCAAAAAGGATGGAAGACTGAGTCAACCTTGAGCCAGTCAGGATCGAACTCAGGGCAGTTGGCATAGCCTGCAATGCTGCATTCTGATCTCTGCACCACCATGGCCCTCCCTCCCTCCCTCCCATTCTCTCTCCTCCCTTCCTTCCTTCCTTCCTTCCTTCCTTCCTTCCTTCCTTCCTTCCTTCCTTCCTTCCTTCTCTCCCTCCCTCCCTCCCTCCCTCCCTTCCCTTCCCACTTAGTACTAGCCCTTAGACTTATATATCACTTCACAGTGTTTTACAGCCCTCTCTAAGCAGTTTACAGTCAACCTATCACCCACAACAATCTGTGTCCTCCTTTTACCGACCTCAGAAGGAAGGATGGAAGGCTGAGTCAACCTTGAGCTGGTCAGGATCGAACTGCTGGCAAGTGAGCAGAAGTAGCCTGCAATACCGCATTCTAACCACTGCGCCACCGTGGCTCTTACAATAAATATTATAAGAGTAAAGAGATAAACAATAAGGTATTTCTGAAATCCCTTCACAGGATCCTGCCAAGGCTTTGGGGATGACCGTAGCCAAACCACGACCTCTCCCTGTCTCCTAAGGCAGCCACTTTGCCAAGGAACAAGAGGGCACTTTCTCCCCTCCCGGAGTCCTAGAGGCAGGGGTGGGATTCTACCGGTTCGAAACGGTTTGGGCGAACCGGTTCGCTCCAACGATCAGGTCGGCCCGGCCACCCGCTCCTGCGCTTTACTTACCTTTATCTTCGCAGCTGATTGGCACGGCAGAACGGATTGCCGCACCTCAGGTGTGTTACTCCCAAGTGGTAACACAGAAGGTTAATATTTGTAAAGCTGCACACACGGACGCAAAGCGCGCGATCACCGAACCGGAGATCCTTATTCCTAGTGACCCTGGAGTAAGAGCCCCTGGGCAGTGGAAACCACGACGGCAGGTGCCTACAAGTCATCCTCGACTTACAACGGTGCCCAAAATTTCTGTTGCTAAGCGAGACCATTGTTAAGTGAGTTTCGCCCCATTTTATGACCTTCCTTGGCCACGGTTGTTAAGCGAATCTGGCTTCCCCGTGGACTTTGCTCGTCAGAAGGCCGCCAAAGGGGACCACGTGACCCCAGGGACCATTGCAACCATCATAAATACGAGTCAGGGGCCATCCAGATTTAAAACACCCGTGACCATGGGGGAAACGGTCATAATTCACTGGTTTCGGGGCCGTTGTAACTTCAAACGGCCATTAAATGAACAGTTGCAAATCAAGGCCTCTGCCTTTATATTACTTGCCTGCTCGGCTGCCATAGTAACAGGGGGGAGGGGGGATATTTGGGAGGGGGGAAGTGAGCTGGTGGAGTAAATTGGAGAAAGTTTTCCTCAGCACTTTCTCTGCAGCTGGGAGGTGCTCTGATAACCAGTCAAAGTCAACCGTCCTCCAGGAGGATGGAGCCATTGGAAGCTGCACCCCACATGACCCCTTGGGGGGATGTCGATTGGATAATCCTGACTGGACCTTTCGGGGGAGGGTTTTAATGATGCTTTCTATTTGTGATTTTCGCGCCTATTGCCTCAGACCTTGTTTTTCTTTAGTTGCATTCAGTTCATGCTCAGTAAAAGTACCTTTCTCTATGAAAATGGAGTTGGGGTTTTTCTTTCTTTTTTCTTTTTTTATAATTTTTATTAATATATCCTATACACCAATACACCAATACAATATACAATCCTGCCACCATGGTATAATGTGATTACATTGTCCATAAGTATAAAATCATTCCTTTATACATACATATTTGCCACCATATATATATACATCATCATATATCTATTCTATCCCACCTTTTCTGGACCCAGTCGTACCATAATGTCCAACTGTTATAAAATTCGGAATCTTTTTTTAAACCATTGATCAGTCTAGTTAATCTATCTGATTCCGCACACTCATTAATTTTATATATTATTTTCAAATCCATCGGTAAGTCTTGATTTTTCCACCCCTGCGCATACGCTAATCTTGCTGCAGTAATAATGTGAATCAACAAGAACCATATATCTGATTTAACATTCAAAGGTTTTGCCCCCAATAGGAAAGGATAGGGGTTTTTCTTTCTTGCGTACTGAAAGGAGGCATACCTGACAGTAGGTGAGACTACTACCTGTATCTTGATTTGGTTGTCTTAGGGGAGCCAAGTTTTGTCCACGACCCTCCAGTCGTCAACCTCCTTCCAAGAGACCCCAACCCAGCCCAACTCTGTATTTACAAGGCTCCTTAGTGGGGAGGGATGGGTCAGTTAAGGGGGAGGGTCCTTGTTTCCTTAGGACAACATGGGATGACCCCTCACCACCCAATGGTTGGGGAATGGACCCTTACTTACTATCAGCAATGATTCGGCCGAGGGCGCGTCTTTCCATCAGGTCTTCCATCTTATCCATGATCCATGGGATGAAGCCTGTCTCAATGTCTGGGGAGTAAAAGAGAAGGCGTCACCATCGC